AGGCAGCAAGCAAATGTGGTGAGTCCTTACAACGGAGGGAACTGTGACGTGAGGTGGGTGAAGAGCAGTGGGGGAGAGTAGGCTAGCATAGCTGCAGTGCCGAGAAGGACAAAAAGTTCTACCTGCAGGCCGGATTCCCATGTGCTGCTGACCATCCAATACAAAGCTTCCCATCGGCTGACCCTCTGGACTATATGCTGCTCCTTGGCTCACTGAAGGATCAAGAAGAAAACCTGATTGTAGTCAATCGTGGACACAGAGGAGAAAGAAGAGAAGACATACCAAACAATCAGCAACTGTTCCAGCTTCAGCACTGAAACGCTATATACAATATCTTGGCTGTCACTTTAAACTCAGGTTGTGCTTTTTATGAGCTGATTATGTTACCAGGACTATAGAATAAAAATGCTATAGGGGGGCCCAATAAACAAGCTTGTCAAGTCAGTTGACTTGCTTAGGATCTGTTTCTTTACTTACCTTTAATGCAAAACAGTGGAAACCAGTTGCAGTGCTTTGTGTTTTTTTCTTAATGAAGTAAATACCTACTCTATTCCTCTCTAATTACATGAATTGCAAACCTGGCATCTGTGATACAGGGTGCTTAAGGTAAAACTTAATAAAACATATAAACCCACTGTCACCTTCTCTAGAACAAGTAGGGAAATTCTGGTCATGGCTTTTCATATTTACATATACACTTTGTATTTGGCTTAATGTTTTGCATGGTTAGTTGAGTTAATGTTTTCCCCCTTTTTCACCTGTTAATGAAAAAGAAATGTAATGCTACACAGGAAGAGTTTCCCAAAGGATTAATAACATTTAAAAAAAAACACCTTTAAAGTGAAGCAGCAGGCGAAATCACCATCAAGTTAAAGCCCCTGTTAGTGACAACAGTCATCACCACATGGAGAACAGTTTTATCCCATAACCTCATGGCAGGAAACCACAACTCCCTAGTATGCCAAGGAAATGCATATTACAAAGTGGAATGATTAACATGGCACCATTTGTTCTGTAAAGAGTTACGTATTCTGAGAGCTTTAATAGAAACATAGAAAAGGTATTGTTCCAAAAAATCATATGTTTTACTGGGAACATATCTGGTGTATTCTTAAACAAAAGTAATAATCTTTTAATATTTTCTGGCAGTATGGTACCATGTCGCATTAGTAGCATATTGTGAATAGTCAAAGCAAATGAATGGATACAATGAGTTTTACAGCTCGCCTTCCAGAAGTGAAAGCAATGCATACACCAAGGAGTTGTGGGTAGCAAGAAAATGAGATTGTCCTGCTGATTGGATGCAGACAAGCAATGAGTAATTCAAGCGCTCACAGTCAAACAAACTGCTTGTGGCACTACTACTTGTACCCAATTACCAATTCAGAGAGAAAATAAAAAGCAGTTTCAGTAGAGTCAGGGTGGGAAATCTCCAATTAGCACCAATTAGCGAAGTTGCTTCCTACAGTGGAATTCTGGGGACATACGAAAAAAAAACATAATCTCCCAGAATGCCTGGTTGGAGCATTTATTTACCAGGTGATGGGACTCCTGAAGAATAACTTGATGAGGATTTGCGCCTATGGGACTTGAATACAGATACTACTTGGAACTTGCCTGCTCGATTTGACTGGTCAATCATAGGCTGTACTATTCTTCTTCTGGCATTAATAAACCTGCAACAGAATACAAAGAACAGAAGTCCTTTCATCAGCTTGCTTCTGTGTTTTGAGAACACCTCTGCTTTAAAACTGACAGCATTTTAGCGTGGTGCAGCAATGTGTTTTGCATTGCATTGCTTTTATAAAAGAGTATAATTTCACTTTAAAGGATTTTCCTCTAAGTGCTCCAAAATTGTACCTGGTAACACACTCATCTTACTAGACAGTTTAAAGCTGGATTTGCCAGGCGGCTTTGAACAAGCAAATGCGACCAAAAACCTGAGTTAGTAGACAATGTTTCTTTAACTTCTTTGAGTGACTTGGAACCTGGTTAAAGTTCACAGGCTGGGAGGCTTCCCCCCCTTCCCTTCCATCTTAGGGATCCAGCTACCCTTGCAGCTGGCCATAAATGAGGACCAGGCTTTGCCACTCTGTGCTTTCACAAGGTATCCTTAGGTCAGCAAAGCCATCAATTAGGCTGTCTGAAGTTTTATCACCAGCGCAGCAGCAATAAGTGCCGGCCCAGAAAGACTTCTGCTCTTCTGCAACTCCTGCAGTTGGAGCCCGTAAAGGCGGGGGTCGTTTGGAGGTCAGTGCCAGCTGGGGATGACCTCTGCGGCTGAGCTGGGACACCCTGTGCAAGGCAGCCGCCTGCCCCAAACTTGGGCACCTTTCAACTCGTTAGAAACCCCAAGCCACAGGTACATGTGGTTAATATTAGGCCCAAAATAACCTTTTTTCTTTTTTTTTTTATCTCAAAATGGGGCGGTTGCCACAGCTTGTGAGCACTGGTAAAGGCAGTTAGTTGGCTGTGGAGCCTGGATTTAATTTTGCTGGTAATCCAAAAATAAGTGCTTACATATTTCTTATTAGCTTAATGCGCAGCGATCCATATCGGCACAAGCTAAGCCAAATTAATTTCCCTAAAATAATTTTAAAACCTGCCTATTCACAGGATTTCTTTCAAAACAGGGTAATTTTCTATCACTCAGGAACCACGCTTGTTTTTGTCCCCCCTCTTTGTTTTTGAGAACACTTTGGAGCCTTCATGCAGGTTTTGTGTGCTATTTCACAGCTCAGGCTTTCGGCTGGTGACCCTTACGGAGTGCTAATGAAGTCGAATACTAGTGTTTAATCCTCTTCAGAAATACTAACATGCCCATCATCCAAAACAGCCTCCAATAATTGCCATTGGGCCCGATCCAACCCTTAGCAAAGTCTTTCAGTCACTTAAATGAAAACTAAGTTCATCTGCTCATTTAGTAAATTGCTAGCCTTTATATAGCATCAACTCAGCAAGGCCTTTTGTTGGCTTCCCTCCTTCTTTTGCTTCCTCCCACCCCCTGGTTAAATTCCTCCACTGATAATAAAAGACAGTGGCACACCTTCGACTGCATCTTCCGCAATCACAAGTCGTGGAAATTTCATTAGACAGATGCATAAATGCTACAAGTACCACTACAGGGCTCTTTTGCATCTCTGTTTACATCGAAAAGACATTCTTTATTCTTCAGGAAAAGTATAATTCAGTTGTCAGAAATGTCATCCTGCCTCAGAATTAGTCATGACTTTAGGTATTAAAATAAAAAATCAGACACAGTTGATGTACTTGTTTATTCCCTTCTGACTGCAGCACAAGGAAGGCATTTCCTACCCCAGTGCGGTGATTTTGAAAGCTGTTTCTATCCCAAAAGACAAAGGTCCCCGACAGGACCTAATTTGCTGAGCTACTTTCCAGAACATTACGCACTGACCAAATGGAGCCTGACCTGAACCTCCTCCATCCAATGCACCTTTTATCAGCTAAAGTTAAGGCCAATAGAGATTAACAGGAAAGCCTGATAAGACTGTTTTCTCTCCTCCTATGAGCTTCTAATGGTGTATACAGATGGCAAGGTTTTAAAGAATGCAATGAATGCTTATTTAGGCCTGTAAAAAATCACAGACAACAGAAACATCCCCCCCACGCACACACTTTCCGCCTTACTAACCCCTTTTCTTCAATCAGGCCACTCTTCAGGGAAACCAAATTGCTTTTTCGTTTTTTATTTAAACCCCAACCACTTTTATTATTTACATCTGGTGGTCCCCTTATTTATGTCCCTCTCCACTTCCCTGCACACACACCCTGGCTCACAGGGCTGTGAGGCATTATGGGCCTTGGCTCTCAGCGGGAGAACTCGACACTGTCTTCAAACAAATAATTAAGGGGAAGGTTAAAGGTTCACCCAGAGGTCATATCTTTGGATACTCCTCAGAAAGTTTACATTAGCAAGAAATGGGTGCCCTCTGAAGTGTTCTTTCAATGGGCTCACACAACAAGGCAGAGCATTAAGAAAATTCTAAGTCCTGAAGGGTTTCAGGTGACAAATGCTTTACCTCCATGAGCATGCAGATGGGATACTCCACTTTGGGTTTTGAAAACCCAGTTTTGCCCAGTCTTTTTCTCCAAAAGTGCTTGGCCTTATTTTATTCCAGTGATGTGAATAAAGCCAACCTTTCACTGTGAACTCTACGTAGAGGCAATTTACTAGTTGTTTTGGAAATGGGAGTTAAAGCCCTAACAGTGAGTCCCCCAGTCTTTTTTTCCCCTAGAGAAAAAACAGCTATAAAAGTAAAACTTTTTTATTTGTCCAGTAAAACTTGCAAAAATAGTGCTGGGTTCGATTTCTGTTTTTATTATTTTCTTTTGCACACATGGGTAACTGCTGGTGCAAACGATGTCCTCTAGACTGTCAACACTGTTGAAAGTAAAGACACACTACCCTATGCTTAGAAAGACATAAGAGCACAGAGACTTTAGGCATCCAGATAATTTTGAAACTCCATTTCTATGCCTGCTCTGAAAATCTTGTCCAAAAAAGGCATCAGTTACATCCATTAATGGGTATGTCTGAAAAACTGCATATGAAATTATTTATATTTGCAAAATTTCAGGGGCGAAAAGAACATACCTTTCAGGTGAAGCTAAAAATCAGATCCTAGTTTCATTAGCAGCAGCTAGATCATGTAATGCATCAGCACAACTGTTAGACAAGGGTACAGAATGCAGTTTGTGGATTATTATATATTCTTTATACTGCCTCATAAATATGTACAGTGCATAATAGAGATGTAGAAACTACAGTCCCTGCCCTAGCCTTTACATTTTTTGAGGGCATTTTTTTATACCTTAGGGAGCCATCTCCAGGGCCAAAGTAAAGCAAAATAGAGCCTTTTGCACAGCACTTTAGTTGGTGTGTTGCAGAAACACTGTGATGTTATTTTGGCACAAATGCCTTCAAAAGGCATTAAGAGACAGGTGAAAAAAAGAGAACACCAATGCCACTTTTCCCAGCATTATTTAGAACCCTATAGATGAAGAATTCACAGATCTGCTCCTGACTCTAATTGTCTGTCTTTTCATAACCTTCACCCAGAGGCCAAAGATTGCATAGCCTGAAAAGAAGAGTAAAATTTATCAAGACATGGATTTCTTTGTCATCCTTCTGTTAATAGCAATTCCTATTATTTGGATGATAGCAGCAGTTAGAGAACTCAATGAAGCTCAGTCTTTCTCCACCCCATGCTGCACAACCACACCATTCAAGAGAACTCGGGGTCTGAACAGATTTCCAGGCAAAGCCTGCGGGATAGGAGAGATGCCTTCTCCCTGTTTGCAAAGGAGAATGGAGACAGAAGGAGATTAAGTGACAAGGCCAAAGTCAGACGAGAGATCTTTGGCAGAGCCACACACCCAACATAGATTTCCTCAGTCCTCTTTCAGCACACTACAATCTGCTATCCATATGCTATCTTTCCTTTGTTCCTTCATCTTAGCAGTCAGGCACACTGGCAGGGGACTGCAGGGAGAGCTCACATTGCCACTGTTTGTGCCTTACCTGCTGTGTAGATAAAGACAGGTCACCAGCCTCCAGGGTTGTGAGGCGATACCTTCACAAACTCTACATTCATATGGCACTTGGTCCTCATTCCAGAATGATAAACGAGGTGTGTAATGCTGAGAAATACATGTTGTTGACATAGTACGTTTAATGAAAATCTCACTTCCAGCATTTTGCAAATGACAGATTACCAACCTCCCTTATTCAAATAGCCATTTGAATTGAATGAAGGGCTTTCGCATCTTGTATTTTTCTTTAATTGCTACCTAAAGCAGCCACCTGTATTTCCTATAGCCAGAGCCTGTTTTTCTCACACAAGTAGTTCCAGTCACTTTTGTGGGAGAATTTATGAAAGATCAAAATCTGGCTCAAAATGTGCAACAACATGCACTTAAAAAAAAAAAAAAGTAATTTCATTTTTATCTGCTTCCAGCAGAAAAACCAGTAGAGCAGTAAAGGTATACTAGTGAATATGCAGTCTAGTCTGATGATTTGGTAGCCCTACTCCTAATTGGTTCCTACCATTTCTAATTAGCATGACAATATAATCTAAATATATGCATTTAATTGCATCTCTTCAAATAGAGCCTTGGTTTTCTTTGTCCAAAATAAACATGTATGCTGCATTTTACCAGAAGTCCTGTAATTCATCTTCATTATATTTTTATCGTATTTTATCTCGTCATATCAAATGATGTTAACCTTACATTTACATAATACATTTTATTTTTACAATAAATAATATTCAGATAAAAACACAGAGAGATATTCCTACAAAGTGCAAAAGCGAATAAATAGCAAATTGAGATCTGTCTGCTTGTTCAGATCTGGCATATTTAAAAATAATTTTGCTGTTGTTTCTACTGTCTTTTTTATACACACTGTACATGTATTTCAAAACACTGAGACCACTCAATAACTGCACCTGAGTAAGATTAGTTCTTGAAATGAACTGCTGGTGGCTGTACTGATTGGCAATCAGAATTACAAACATCTCTACTTTTACTCTATGGCTACCATGGAAAATTTACTTTAAGTAGGGTTACAACAGGTCGTGTTTCAGGAGGATGAAATGCATGAAAGCTTAGGAAACTCCAGTTCATTCCCACCTTAGGGTCTAAATATGAACTC